AGTGGCACTGATCCTCTTGACAGCACGTTTAGACCTGCAATAAAATTTAAAACGAATCAGGCGACCGTGATATAATGAGAATAATAATCATATTATCTGAGTAAAGAGATCAAGGAGAGTACATATGGAATTGACATCTTTTCTAGCTTATGAAAGTTGATAAATGGCCTTAATACTTTTGGATATCTGTCTTTGGACATTTTCTGTCCCTCGAAGCCTTCTCCCCGAAGACAGTTCGGTCATTGGAAAGGTTATGTCTAAAGAGAAATATCCGAATATATTTCCTCGCTGAATAGAGGTTAAAGTTTATTCATAATATTGCAAGGTGTTTACATTTAAAAACTGGTAATAGCTTGAAGGTTCGACGCCATAGAATATTTTAAATCATAACTAGCAGAGGTCACAATGACAATCACCATTACTGTATAAAATCCTGGAAACATTTAAACCTTCGCTAATGAGGCTTACGAAACACCGAAGGGTGGGTGCTTTATTAATAATGTTTTCATGAGTTTTCCAAGGTGTACCCCCGAAATAAATAACTGAATATTCGCCTTTTTGAAGTCTTAGGTATTACGATACTCTATAACGCTCGCCGCGACCATCAATCAATCAATCAATCATTTTATTTAGTGATGCAGGTTACAAAAGTGGCAGCCATGATGCTGATGTGGACCTACAACTAACTAATAAAATGTGAAATAATAAACAAAATAATTTGTAAAATCAGCCTACGGTATTTGAATTTAGTACAATTCAATAAAATAAGGTTCATTGACAAATAAAAGTTACAAACTAATCTAGAAATTTGCGTACAGTATAATCATACTTAAAAATATACAAAATCTCAGTCTTTCATAGCTATCATAGGTGCTTCGAATGAGAAGCTATTAATGTTTTGCGAGGGCCTATGTAAAATTTTTTTAAAACTGTCTTTTTGAACGTTTGCATTAAAATTTACCAACCTAGTCCAGATTAAAATTCCAGATTACAGGGCCTCTGTATTGTGCTGATTCCTTTCCCACATAGTACTTCACCCTAGGGATTTCAATCTGTAACCCTCCCCTACGTGATGGTCTGTTGTCTAACTTCAAATCAAAAGGGGGATACAGGACTTTACCATTTAAAATATCATGCATCAGGAGAAGGAGTCTTCTTTAATATATATAAGAAATTGGCAACCAATTTAGCTTTTCAAGATTTTAATCCTGGTGGATAACTCGTGCGGCTCTCGCTTGAACAGGGTTTAAAGAGTCCATAATAGAGTAACTGCAGTTTCCCCACACCACAATACCATAAGTTACAGCTGATACAATGGATTTGAAATAAATTTCCTCCAGCACTTTGACAGGAAGCTTCTTCATTCTTTTTAATGCACCCACTTTCTGTGAAAAAGATTTCTTCACATGGTCTACATGCATTGCCCATGTAAGCCTATTGTCAATGACTCATCCCAAACATGTGGTGTGATTCACAACATTAGTAAAATCAACCAAGATTAGACATGTTTACAATTTCGATTGACCGTACTTTGTAATTAAGAAAGAGACTCAGGGAGCCAGAAAAATTTAGCATTTGGTTCAGCTCAACTCGGCTTCTTCGACAAAAAAGTCGCCGCCGGCTTGAAGAGGTACCTGGCTGATCTCTTTATAGGAAGAAAATGTCTTCTTTGACGCGACCATAAGATCATTGAGGGATGACGTTTCTCGCACGAAAAAATTTGCTATTGTTCAAATCAAATGTTCTTGTTACAGCAAAATTCGAAAAAACGACTAATTCTTTGAAAATTGAATAACGCTGCAAAACGAATGGTCACGGCCAAGTACTACGGTTAGTCAAATTGTACCGTTCAAATCTTGTTCAGGTTATAAAGTTAAGCCACTCCAGAAACCAAAAGAGCAACGCACAAGTAATGAATGAAAAAGCAATTATCATAATGTGGCAAACAAAATCGGTGCGTTTATATTGTCTGTTCTCTTGCCGAAATCACGCATGATAAAAAAGCGAGAATTTCGCAAGTCAACAAAAATATTTCAAAAAAAGTTGAGAATCTGTAAGAATATTTTATAATTATATAATAAGCATTCATGGGTGGTAGCATAAACGTTATCGACGGAGTGATATTGTAAGAAAAACAAACTGAGTAAATGTCACATCAACTGTACTGACACATGTGTTATGTTATGATGAATTTCGAAGCATCATTCGCACCCATATAGATCACAAAATCCATGTGCAGTTCATAGGATTACAGATGCGTCACACTGACACCAGAAGCTCGATATGCTTCGTTTATTACCGAGGTAATTTTGCAAAATTTTCATTTCGTCGTTTAGAAATAAAGTTGCACAGATATAAGTGGTCTCGTGTTTCTCCCTACACTTCTTTCGTGCTCTAGCCACTTCCTGCGTGCTTTATAAAAGAACAGAGCACAGTCAAGGCTTCTCTATTTGTTAATTAGCGGAGGATTTGATGTACGTTTACCAGCTTAGCTGAGTTAAATGTTGCCCTGCTATGTCGTACTGTAATTTCTACAGTGATAAGGAAACAAAATGCTCGCTTGGGCGACGAAGTAAGAAATTAGAAAATTATTTTTAAGGCTGTAACACAAAATAACAAATGTAGTAGACGATTTCCAAGAACTGCAGCTTAACAGAGACATGTGGTTCCGGTATTTCTTGGAATTCTTGTTATTTGTTTAACTGGTGACAAGACGTGAAAGGTGACCTATTTGTCCATTTTAATTGAAACTGCGTTCTACTACTTGCTTTTAAGAACGAAAATGCGCATTTTTTAAACCGTAGGTCTTTTCATTTTCGCTGGTTTTTTCTTTTTCCCATTAATGATAAATTTTTCATTCACAAGTTCGCTGTGGCGCTATGTTGCCGCGAAAACATCTTGAATAATGTGATTCAATTTCGCCAAAAAATTTGAATTACATTCGCTACATCTTCACTTTCGACAAGACTCGGCAACTTGTCTTTTTCTGTAGCCAAAAAGCACAAGATGGTCGCTTGATCCTTACAGAATCATGACTTACGCAGAAAAAACTCGATATGGAAAGTCCTTATCCTTAGCCCATTAACCACTGTTTTTGCAAGCCGGTTACAGCGAGTAACGTAACGAATAGATTAAACTTGAAATCTTACTGCAGAAAGGGAAAAAAAACATTTGACAAACCTCTAGATGAATTGTGACCTTCCCACCTCAGTTTCGCTGGAAGAAATTCTCAGATTAGTTTGTCACTGAATCATAATATACACGTGACCCTTTCGCAAGGGAACCAATCGCATCTCTTGTACTATCTCTTGTTTCAGATGTACTGTATGATTCATTACATTTACATGCAGCTTATAGCGCCGCTGACAATGTACCTAGTGCAGTTTCTCACGCCATGTGCGTTGCTTGACCGTTATTTGCAGCTTTTTTTGCCGTTTTTACCGAGGCAGACCTAGCGAAGGATTTTAGGCTGTGTAAGTAGCAATAACTTCGAATCGCCGCCTGACAGATCCTCATTTGTCATTCCATGTTATTATCCTGTACGAGAATACAAGGAATCTGGACGCATAGACGTTGTTGTGTCGTATTTATTTTGCCAAGCGTAGCTGGCCCCTACATGGATACTCACCTGAATTTATTAATCAGCTTGTCTCAAATGTTTTCTTTGTTCTTTCGTAGTGCAATACTACGGTTCTCCTGCAATTTTTCCTGGGATTTTAGAAAAACTTACCTAAGAGTCCCATTAGTGACTGAGGCTTATGATCAGTCCACAACTTGAATTGATTTAGACCAGACCACTTACTACCCTCGTAATGTCAGCATTGGCTTCGGGTCATTATTTCAATTTTTTTTCTTCCTTCTCTTGTATCAGATGGACACTCACCTGCATGTCATTATTTATTAATCAAACTTAAAAGTTTGAAATAACATGGACGTCTCCTTGTGGAGCGAGGAGCTAGACGGAAGGAAAAAAAATTGAAATAACGACCCGAAGCCAATGCTGACATGACACTTTTTCCTCCGTGGGGATCCCCTCGTGGCAGGCAAGCGATAACTTTTCCTGAAAAGGTAGGGTTGAATTCTGGTGCGAAAGCCGCAGATCAAGGTTTTGCTAAATGAGAAGCAAAGGCAGGCACACAAGCAAGAGCTTACTGATGAAGTAGTTCAGCCCCAACACAGGAAATATCAAAAAGCGGAGCGCAAGCTGCTGATGACGTGGTGGAAGTAGGTTGTAAAAACAATTGGAAAAGAGTAACTAGAACTTGAATTATTGGAGCAGTTCAAACTCACTCAAGACTAAATAAAAACAGTTCCTTACAATTGGAAACCTACTGATTTTTATTTTTTTTTCCACTTCATGGATTACATTTATTTCGTATTTTGTTAAATTTTGCTAAAAAACAAAAAACTTTATCTGCTGTTAAATTTCGAGGGAAAATGATCAACAAGACTCTTCGTTTTAGAATGATTTTTTTTTAGGTAATGTTGAATTGCTGACTCTAGAATCTCCATCGTCTCGAGTGCCTTGTGCTGCAAGCATCATTACCGCTGAAATATTTGATTCATGAATCAAAGTAACATAATTTTGGTTAGTAGTGGTGTACAAAGTAATGATGATCTTTCGAAGTATTTGTGGAGTTTAAAATAATCCAAGAGGATAAATCCGAGCCAAGTCTCAAGACTTTCACCCAGCTTTTAAAGAAACGACAAAGGCATAAACCCTTGTTTATACAAGGTACCAAATCATAACAGAGTTCCATTCTGTGAACACAACGTATCATTTTCTACACCCACAAGCACACCCAATCGAACCACACTGATACCAACTAATAGAGCTGTTCATAACGATTATAACATAGAATGTAACGAAACAAGCTCTGTTAAACTGTAACGAAAAATAATGCAACTCACGAACTATCAGCATAACAGAGAAATTGTCGATAGCATGTTAAACTCACGTAAGGGATTGGAATTTCGAACAATCAAACATCAAATCGAAACAGTTATCAAAATAACCTAGTCGATGATCGGAACGGTTGCAGATATCACCGGCGTATGCTCCATATGTCAGAACAATTTTCTTTTAGAGGCTGGCATCTGGCGCATCGTTAACTTTCTTTCCAGCTCGGCGACTTGACTTTTCAAGGAGTTTATTTCTTTTTGTGCCTCGGCTTTGGCAAACTGAAGTTTCTAAAACAAAGAAAGGAACATTCGCTTAATATAGTTACTGACGGTGAATAGACTCAAGTTCAAGGTTTACAAGCGAGGGAACAGGGAGATGATTGCCTAGTTCCTGTATTCCCCTCGCAAAATTTCTCCTCAGTCAGACGCCTTATCGCTCTACAAAGCTCGAAACAGAGCCTAAGCAAACCACAATTTCTCTACTTGTTATTCGCCTTGGACATGCATATGTAGTCACACTACCGCATATGTACGCGTATCAGCTATCTTCAAGAGGCTACTTATAAAGTACTATCTCGGATGCTCAAATGTTTCATTAACTTGAAAAAGACTTTATAAGTTTCTAATTACTCTAAGCGCCTGAAAAATAATAAAGAATGAAACACAAAATTTTGAGATCATGAAAATTATTTATTTATAAGAATACGTCAAATTATTCAAACGTGGTCCTTTTCACAAACCATCGAAAAGAAGATACGATCTCAAATATAGATAGGAAAGTCTGTTAATTTTTCTCTAAGTCGTAGAAAAAAAAAGAACCATTTTATTTGTTTCATCATCAGCGTAGGCAGAAGGAATTAGTCTGGGTCCCCCTGAGAGTCGAATTATCTTCATCATTCATATGTTCTAAATATTCTGACCTTTTATCCAATTTTTGATAAATAAAAGCATTCTGTGGTTTCTACCTGTTACTAACCTTTCGGAAAATGTCGGTGTTGGCGTTAAACGATTGGCCAGCCTGAGCTTTGGCATTATTTCTTTCACGTTGCAGTTTTAATATTTTTTCGTCAAACTGCCAAGGTAAATACAGAATACTGAATGGAACAAGCTTCTTGACACAGCTATAGGCCTAAAATATTTATAAAAATGACATTGTACATGAATAATACAGAGAAAGTAACTGCCTTTCATCGGTGGCATTGCAACGGAAGTGCGCTCGCAAGATGGAAGTTACTCCTTCTTTGTCAAGAAAAAGCGAAAAAAGAATTATCCAGTGAAAACCTCCTTTCAGCACCCCCCTTTTTGCACATATGTTTGACCGTCCCACCTCTAAGCGAAGCTTGACTATTTCTGTTTGGTGCAAGTGACTCATATCAGCCAGCTGCTTCTCGAGTTGCTGTATTTGACTTTCCTTTCCTTGTAGGGACTTCTCCAGTGTTGTGATTACCTTCCTATCTGATGTCAAGGAACGTATTCAAATTTGGTCAGGTCAAGTGTAGCACTGAGTAAGAGAGCTTTTCAAGCAAACAGTCATGAGTAGAAAGGGTGAAGACAAGTGGCTTTGCTTGCTTCTCATGTTCTTCTTGATAAAACCATTTCTTCAATACTACAGCAACCAAAACTCGCTCTTATCTCGTATTTTCCCGTACTTAACGTAACGAAAGTGATTAGAAACAAATTGAGCATCAACTTCAACACAAAACCAGAACTGAGTTCATAAACCTAAACATAAATAAAATCAAACCATGCAACTCTGTAAATCTTTTTATACTGTTCACTCCAAAAATGCAATTCCTCAAATTGTTGTCTCCTTTATTCCGTAAAATCTAAATGAAAAACAAACTGAAACGCCTCTTGTCAAGCTGTTTCAAAATATTTATCGATCACGAGATCACGAGACTAAAAATATAAGCTCCTTGGCTTACTTTGTTGAAGTTCCTCTTGTCTAACCCTCTGAATCTCTTGCTTATGATTCTTAAGTGCTTCAGAAAGTTCAGTTTTGTGTTCCTGAGGAGTCATAAAAGATCACTAGACCATTTTGTTCTAAGACCTTCTGATCAACGGACGGTTCGACAGAATTGGACCGCATGCTGCTGATTGATTAATGGGTCGTATTTTTACTTGAAATCATGCTTTAAAGTTAAGACTCTCTTGAACTCTTTGGAAAAGTGGCGATGAAAGGTCACTGATGCTAACCTGTTCAAGACGGGCTGTTTTTTCTGTAACTGCAGTCAAGTGTGACTTTAGTTCCGCGTTCTCCTCTGAAGAAATATATACTCAAATTAGCAGCAATGAGTTCTGTTAACTACCTACCAGTTACCAGAAAACTAGTGGAATAGTGACAACCAAGGCTTCGAGGTTTAAATTTACCGCTATTTTAATTTCTGTTCTGGGGTATTAGCTAAAGCCTTGTGTTAGCAAAAGCTTTAAGCTACTCAAACACTTCAAGAGCAAAAATGCACACACAAAGCGGAAACAACACAAAAAAAGATTTTAAAAAAACCCTACAAAGAACCCAAAACTAATCGGTAAAAAGCCAACGCTAAAAGGGATCATCTTTTTGAAACCTTGAGGATGCTAATAGTTACCTTCTTTGTCACATCTTTGTAAAAGGATCCTCTGAAGATTGTCTACCATGGCCTTGAACTTTCCAGCTTCTGTAATATAAAACAACGAGAAGAGTAAGAGCCGGTTCTCGTGAGTATCTGGTACACAATTTTCTGTTCAGATTATGAAGGGCTGAGTATTGAAATATAAGATGTGGGTCAACCCGCTGAGTAAGAACCAAGTCTGTCAGAGGAACCACGATCAAAGTATTTGTAGTCAGCTGAATAAAAGCCCTAAAACAATCACTTGCCTAGGAAAACGAATATGAAAACGCAAAGAGAAACCGATTGGTCACAAGGAAGTTTCAGGATGGAAACAATTTCGTTACATATCTTTCCATGCACGAAACGTGACGTGACTTTATTCTTAAAACATTTTCCATAACAGGCTCTGAAAAAGCCATGTCAGACTAATCTTTCGCGTGCCCAAAGTAAGCTGGTCTTCGGTCCTCCAGACTAACACCTAGCAAATTCTCAATCCGCAGTCGCCCACTCTTTTTACAGTTTGTTAGAAATAAGCAAGGAGATCAATCACACAAGAAGGCTTCCGTAAACACCAACCTTCTATGGACAACTTTTCAGCCTCCTGGCTGGACTGAAGCTGCTTATTAAGGAATAGTATCTCCTTCTCTAGGCAGCTGTTTTCCTGTGCAGTGTGTCTCATTACCTACAAAAAAAAAACATAAGTGGCGAATTTCTTGCCAAACTGAGACGCAGCTATGGTCCTTAGGTGCACGTGCATTCACTTGCCGCTCCACCCCCCTCCCCACCACGCTTCTCTCGAGCTCTATTTCTCTTTCACAACAAAATGAGTATCATCCCATTGCATGGTGATGAATTTAAGATGAAACTTGTTTCTTCTAACAATGCTGTATATCTTCAAAAGGAATTATCATGTTATATATCACTTACCTTTTCAAAATACGTATATTCTTTAATTAAGTTGTCTAAATCAACGGCTGTTCTGATAGAGTTCCCGCTGGCGGCCATACTTCTTCTCCGACTGCAGCTTTAATTAGTTACACCATAAAAGACATCTTCGGTTGAAAAATAAAGGGGAAAAGGAGAAGTATTGTAAGACTCCTAAGACAATGAAGAATAGATTTACAAAGCTTTGAACAACTAAGCAAACATACTCTCTCACAAAGCGTGTGAAAGAACCTGTAAGACTTTAAATACGGTTTTCGACAGCCGAAATTTGGATTCTTACCTGGCAGTGTTAGCGAAAACGGAGATGAAAACAACCATGAAAGAAGCTTCAGTAATATATCGATAAGCCTTGAATTCTTGACTCTTTTTCCGCTAATACACAAGCCTCAATTTAAATGTGTGCAATACTGCAAAGAGGTCGGAAAAAGATGCGACTCTCAAGCGACTGATAGCTCAGTCCTTGAGAATTTTGGCGGGAAATTTCGACGCGGGTGGCACAGCCAATAAGTTCTTCTCGGGATAGGGGTAAGTTATATATTGTTTCAGTTCATCATGCAAGGTTTCGACATTAAGATGTAAAAAAAAAATTCCCAGTCCTTCATAGATTTTTATATTCAGCGCAGGAATGAATGACACGAATTAAGTTCAAGAGCTGAAATTAATTTACGAGAGCTAAGTAACGACCTTGAACAAATTTGCCTGAAATTTTCAATTCTATTGGTTTGAATCTGTTCCAGTCTTCGAAATGCTTTACCATTCTCGCTCCTTCCTAGCCCCCCCAAATCCCCTCTCAGAATCCGTTATTACATCCAGTCATCCTTTGTAACAACGATGGCATCAACACTTCAGCAAATGAATAGCCCGCTAGATACAAATTATCTATTACAGTTTTATTCAAACCCGTCTCTTTCTTCAAATAATATTTCCGGGTAATTCACCTCGCGAAACAAATCAACTCGCCTCGGCCCAAGGTATCGAGAAGATTCAAAACTTACATATCTTAAATAACATTAAAACGCTTTATAATATTTCTCTACCTCCTTTAACTCAGTAAGCTTGGACCAGCCCTTACTAAGTAGGACAAATTACGAAATAATTTACGACAACGCCACTTGCAAATTTGATTACCAATACTCAGTAATCACCGAAACGTGTTTACAAAATGAAATGACCCAGTTTTTTGTCTCAATTATAAGAAGCCATATATGAGCGAATTTCAATTGAGTGTCGATAAATTAAAACCAAAGTAAACAAAATGCCAATTACGACACCGAAAAAAATACACCACATGGAGACACTGAGAACCCAAAGTAAACCCGTGCAAACTTGTTTAAGCCCAAGAAAGCGCGAGCTTCATTGGCTGAGAAAGTACCAATGGTTTTCTGCATCAATCAAGGGGCAACGAAAATTAAATGACACTCAATTGCAACTTGCTCCGACAGCTAGTTTTTGACTCGTAAACTTAGTCAACCAGTTAATAGGATTTCCCGTATATGTTCGCCTGTCACTGTTTCCTCGGTTACAAAGTAAATATTATCCCACATCATCAGTCCACTTACTGCAAGGACATCTCAACTAGTTAATGAAACTTTTTTTTTTTTAAATTTTGGTCAGTAAGTTGGAATCTCTCATACATTAAATCTCGCATGGTTATGAATTGATAACAACTATATGTATATACAATAAGAGCAAAAAGCACTAAATGTTCACAACGAAAATAAAAGTCATGTTTCCTTACTTTTTTCCTTCATTTTTTTCCCAAAACTCCTGTTAACAATTTTTTTTTCTTTTTTAAAAAAGAAACTGAAAATAATGATATTTTCACTGCTGGAAATAAATGCTACAAATAACGACGATGACATGATGTGGAATTCAGAAATATCAATGTAATTTGAAGATTTACTTCGACCATCTCACTACTCTACCAAAGCTTCTGTTAGGTTAGTGCCCCAAGGCCAATGAATTTTATTTTCATTGCCTTATGTCCAATCATTTTGAACAAGCGAAAAAACATTTATACCAAAGGTGCACAATGCACCTTCCCAAAGAGAATTCAAACCAAAGTCTTCACTTTCAGAATGGATAAACAATGATGTTTGATCCATGTAGAAGTTTTCAAGCAAGTAAGTAGCATTCTGTTATTTGTCTTGGTAGTAGCCAGTACACCGCCAATAGTGTCCCTCTTTTTCTTTTTTTATCTATTTTTTAAAAAAATACCCAATACTGAACATTTATCAATACAGTTCATATGTCTCAACAAGGTAAAGGTCCTTATAAATATTCCAACCGAGAACTAATATTTCTTAACGTCTTTTTCCAATTTAATCTTGTGTCAATGAAAACCTGTATGCATTTAGGGCGATTTTCATTTGTATGGTACCTTCTTTTCACGTCAAGACTAAGCACGAAAGTGTCAGATCTGATCACGAAGTTGGTCAGATCTGCCGCTTTTGATTGGTTAACATTCCACTTTTCGCACGGGAAGACAAACCCGTCAGAACTGTACTGGACTTGGCTGGCCCATGCGACAAATACAAAGTCCTACGCACTTGGAAGTCGAGCCGGAGACGAGAAATGAAGCCTCCGAATTCAAGAAAGTCTTCTTATTCGATCGAAGTTCCGAAACTTTGCGATCACCTCATCACTTTACCCACAATGCTCCACCTTTCAACAATTTGTAACTTCGTTAGCAGGCCAAAGCGATGATGAGACTTGCACACATTTCCATGAATTCCATCGTGTGATGTGAGCCAGTTGGGCTCGTGAAACTATCAGAGTCTTTCAGACTGTTGAACGACGAGTTTGCAGACGATTTTCTGGATGACTTTCCCGATAGAGTTCCTTCCGTGTGTTCTGGAGGGATTTCCGGGGTGGGAAGGCTTTTGAAGTCCAGGAGGTAACTTTTATGATCGACCTGATACAACTGAACGGCGATCTTGGTCTAGATTAAGAGAAAATGGATATCAAACTCTAAAGTGGTTTATATCCTGTATGCTAAAATGATTTGGTAATTTTTTTCCAAAGGAAAAACAAAAATGTTGATATCAAAGAAATCAAACGAGTCACAGCAAAACTAACTCTAAGAAGTTCAAGTGAAATTGTAGTTACTTACAAATTTTCCAGTTATCCTGTTTCTTCTAAGCACTCTCAAATTAAAGGGGTTTATGATTTTCCATTCCTAAGAAGACCGCAACAGAGATAAGACGTTATCCATGAAATAGAAAAAAACAACAACAAAAATTCAGTTTATCTTCTCAACAGAGACATTTCAATAAGCCTCTGTGCACTTTTCCTGAGGCAGGGAAGCATTGCAATTCATACCACACAAGCCTTCGTTGTGCAAAGAGGCGCCTAAATTTTTTATTCAAAATAAAAAGCATTTATCACTCCGAAAAGCAATGAATCGTAAGTACTGCTCAGTAAGGAATCTTATTCCTTCAAGGACGAATTTTAAGCAAAGGCAATGTGTCATAGAATTCCTCTCGACAGATGTCAGTTTCCCTTCACCTTGAAGACAAATTATTTCTACTTGCAAAATCGAGGAAGTTCAACATATTTTTGTGAACTGATTGGCAACACCTGCGGAGTGAATATAATACTTACATAACCTAAAGACATCATTGCGCGGTAAACTTCACCCATAATATCATTTGGCTTGCTCTGTGATCGAATGCCTGCACGTGGAAGAAAAAACAGTTATTTAAATGCCTAATTCTTCTCCTTCAAAGCATTTTTAAACATAATTAGAGAGTTGCGTGGTATTCCTAAACCTTTCCATATGTTCAGTGGACTGCAAAATCGTTTTTCTAACTCTCAACGAAATCACAGTTGGAAAATCGCAATTACATGATTGTATAGTTGGCTTTTCCTCGAGACAAGCTACAAAAGCAGGACTTTATAAGAGAATAATCTAAAGGGATAATGTGCTCAGAGACGGAGAACAAGGCTTGCCTACGAGTGTCGTGATAAACTGCACAGTCCAAGTGTTCAAAGCATCCTTATAGCCGTCACGAAGATAAATTTTTAGGTCCGTATTTGATTGATCAGTTTTAAGTACAGTCCTGTAAATGACCCTGTAAACATATCTCTGGTAGCATTTAAAGTTGCAATTTAGACAGAGAGAAGATTTATTAGGTCCCTGTGTCAACAAGGAACCACAGGTGTACCAGGGTGCTCATCCTTCAAGTATAAACCTACCCAAATGCCATTTAGGTCGCTTTCCAAGTGCTAGCCTCAGGTATGGGATTTTTTTGGAGGGTGTTGTTGGGTTAGAATCTGAAAAGAAAGTAGGAAAGTAGTAAGCTTAAGATTGTTCCAAAATAATTATACATGTACAAGTAAATGGAAAAGATGAACAGTTACAGAAATACAGTAATATGCTGTAATCAGCTTAAAGACCTGCAATCAATGCAGACTACTGTTAACGAAATTTGAGATCAAAAAAATTTCTTGACTCCTTGTTTATTATCAGAAGCAGTTAGTGATGAAGAGACATGTAAGGTTCTCTTCAGTAAGAAAAACAGTTTATAGAAAACAATACAAAATATTACAGAAAACAACAGCAAAAGCTTGTAAGCCATTAGAGTTCTTTCTAATTGAATGCAATGTAAGAGCCACAAAAAAGTCTAGACTTACTGGATCTTGCTTTAGTCATGGCTGTATTTGGAAAACTTTCATTTGAAGACACGGCCTTTTGCTGAAAAAGGGAACATGTAAGAGCTGAGCCTTCTAGTGCACAAGGATTGGAAAATTTTATAACTCATGACTGCCCCTCCTACAGCCCATGTAATGTTCAGAGAACAATTTTATGCCTCAGAAGTTTGCCCTCTATTAATTTCTTAACTCGCAAGGGGACTGAACATATCATAACTCAATTTGTGAATTCTAAAATCTAAGCAGAGACTGCTATGAATTTTACCAAAAGGATTGTTCCAGACTGTAGATTTGACAAGAAATAAAACACAAACATGGAAAGATTTCCAAGACATTCCATTCTCTCCTGTTGGGGCTGACTAGTGGCTGAATGAACAAAGTGATATTTATTGGGTCACATGGCTTGATAGCATGTGGTTTTTGTGTTAAAAATGGTTTTGTTTCGGAGACTGTGATTGCTGTGTTTGTTTGTCACAGTTTTTTCTACCATGTATGAGTTTTACAATTTCTTTTTACCCCAATGTACTGATAATTTAACTTTTCTTCATTCATTTTTACCATGGGCGTAGATCAATTCAAGACGACACAAAATAGTGGAAATGTCTGTAATTTGAAAGTTGTACACAATCATGAGCTGACCTGGATTAACCTGTCGTGGTCTACAACTATGTATGCGTCAACAAAGCTCTCTGCAAATTGTCCCCTGGGATAAGGTCCCCTCCCTCTTTGAAGATCTGGGCAACATACATCACAACATTGCTACAAAACTTACCACAGGTGATGCTGGTTCTTTAATAAGAAAGGAGGAGATAGGAGGTGAAACAGAAGAGTAGAAGTCCTTCACATTACTTTCTCCCTGAGCTGCTGCAAAGACAATCAAAAGTCAATCAATGACTTTGTTATTTCATAACAAGTCATAGCCTTCTTTCCACTATCTCCAAAAAAAGATTAGACAAGTGCCATGCAAAAATAAGGCATACAATGAGTTAAAAATAACATGTACTTCAGATGATTACCTACATAAAACTGCACTGTTTGGAGTATAAAATATGACAACAGAGTAATAATGGGAGTCATCGCAAGTTTTTTCAAAACATAGAGTCTGTGATTCCCTCCAGAATTCCAAGTCAGTACCTCAATCTGACCTTAATTATCCCAAGTAAAAGTTACATGCACCAACCCCCCAGAAAGCTGAGATCCTTGTAAAATGGCAATTATATGTATCAAAATCCCAAGATTGCTATCTAATTGTGATAGTGACCTCTCAAAAAGCACCACCATCACAGGGTTGCAACTTAATTTTCCTTTTAATGACAAACTGGCATGGCACAAGCTTGATATTTTTCCTAAAACAACTGTTTCATGTTCATCAAATAGTTCCTCAAAATACAGCCATCCTGAAGAGTGACATACAAAACCTTAGCTTACCAGTAGGTTTATGAATAATCTTCCTTCAAATGTCACCAAACCATCAAAATTTCTGTTGTGTTCACTTACCCAACATTTTCATTCTCTTGTTGTCAAGTATCAGATGATAAGCAATCTTCAGTTGGTCATGAGGATCTCCATTTTTTATTGCCCATCGCACATCACTTTCACTGCAGTTTAGTTTCTGCAAAAACAATTCAAGACAATATTTCTCTAAATTTTGTCACTGAACCAAAGTACTCAACATTTCACTTCTGTAGTGTTCAATTTAATGCGAAGTTCAAAAGTCTCTGACATGAAGTGATTTAAATAGAGCATCAATTTGTACATTGGGATCCAGTTATTCAAAGAGCAGATAATCTTATCCATCAAGTTAAGTTTTCAAAAAAACATACTATGCTATGTGCAAGAAAGAGATCCATTGAGTGAATACAATGCACACATCACTGTAATCAAATAAATAAGAGAATATTATAGTTCTATTTCTATACATGTAGGTTAGCTTGTCACTGTGTTGTGTTCTTAAGCAAGGTTTACACCTCTAATCAAATGGCATTACTATGCCTGGTGTAAATTAGTGAAAGAATTCTTATAATTTTTTCTGAAAGGAAATATTCCATGGAAAGTCACTGACCTCACACACTAATGCTAAGCACTCCTGGTCTACCATATCACTTTCTAAGCAAGATGATGGGAAGAGATAAACTGGTAGATCCTTCTTGAACCAGTCATGATTCCTAAAAATAAACAAAACACATGGGTAGGAATCACAAAATTGAAATTTTCATGGCAAATAATGTTTCATATAGGCACTGTTGTCCACTGTTTTTAGTTCAAAATTTAGGTTGGAATTTCAGTTTGGAATTTAGAATGCTGTTTTGTGGAAGCAGGAAGATGGGAGGAACTGGAGAAAACCCCTCAGAGCAAGGTCAAGAACCACCAACAAACTCAACCCACAAGTGACACCAAGTCTTGGAATTGAACCTGGGCCACAGTGGTGGGAGGCAAACACTCTCGCCGCTGCGTTATGCCTACTCCCTTAACCCTTTAACTCCCAGAAGTGATTAACAAGTAACTTCTCCCTATAATATCCATACACTATACAGCAAACAGGTAGCGAGAATACTCAAACTCATCAGGTACAAGATATCACCTCAATTGAACACCAAATTCTTGTAATCAATTTACAAGGAAATGTGTAGCAGCCAGAGGGGAGAATTAACAATCAGATCTTGGGAGTAAAAGGGTTAAGAGTACACTTACTTTATTTGCTGCATTGTTGCTCTCTTCATGGGATCAACACGTAACATTGATGATACCAGACTGCTTGTCTCTGATGACAGATGTGATGGTATATAAAATACACCTCCTACAAAGGGAAAATACATGTAGGAAATGGTTAGAGCACTTAATACAGTTTTAAGTCAATGTCTGCTTACAGGCCAACTTTTAAAGCAAAGAGTTTGGATTTGGGTTCTGGCTGGGTCATTGCTTTATTTTCTTGGAGAAGAAAATTTACCCTGGGAGTGTCTCACTTCACACCATAGTAAAAATACAGGAGGAACAAATGTACATTTGAATGAAGACTGTTGCCAACTGGAAACTACAACTAACATTTATTTTAACCCTTTAACTCCCATGAATGACCAAGACAGAATTTCTCATCACAATATTTATACAATATCAACTAGATAAGTGATGAGAATAAAGAAAAATATCAATTTGGGGATAGTTAGCTGATCCAATACTAAATTCTCTGAACTAACATTATAAGAATTGTGTGGTTGACAGTGAGGAGAATTACAAATTTGATCTGGGAGTTTAAGGGTTAAAAATAACAAACCTTTTATTTTCTTGAATAGGGTTGGTATATGTTCATCATCAAAGGGAAGCTGAAAAACGTATCAGACTTGATATTACGCAAAGAAAAAATTGTAACTTCTATAAAACGATCATAGTTGTGCACAGTAATATCAAAAATGTACATAAACAAAAACCTTGGAATAAATGATTAATACTTACACTTCCACATAAAAGGGCATAAAGAATCACCCCACAACTCCATATATCCACCTCTGGACCTGCATAAAGTCTAAAAATTTAAATGAACAAATTTCAGGCACTAACTTTGCATAAATCCACTACAGAGTACTTTTCCACAAATCCAGATTTTAAAATGAGGGTATCCTTTTAGGCCTGAGTAACTTACCAACCCTTTTAACCAAGAACAAAATTAATGCTACATAATTTCCCCCAATAATTTCACACTACAAAAAGAATATGATTTGATCTACTTTGATTTAATTTTTTCACAAAAAAGTCTTGCAGCATGCAAACTTACTTTCCAGATATAACTTCAGGGGCTGCATAATTTGGTGATCCACAACTTGTTCGCAGGAATTCACCATCCGTCATCATGTTGGATAATCCAAAGTCTGCTATTTTTACATTTGCTTGGGCATCCAGAAGGAGATTCTCAGGTTTAAGGTCCCTTGATTATATCACAAAAAAGACTATTTAATAACAGCACCTGGTTTATAAGAATAATAATAAATTAGAAGAGGTATGGCAATATTCTCAAACCTACATGCACACTACCTATATATAAAAAAAAATTACTCTACCTATGGACTACCATGTGTCTATGGCAGTAATCCACTCCTGAGATAATTTGTTGGAAAAATCTGCGAGCCTCCTTTTCTTGAAGCTACAATTAACAAACAAACAAAAATCAAAGATAAGTCAAGTGCATTACACAAAAATCTGGAATTAAGATAATATGAAAATAATGAAAGTCTGGGTTTCACCCACTGTCAAGGCTATTGCACACTGTAACATGCCAGAACAATCAACCCTTCACACCCAGACATCGGTGCCACATATTCTCCAAATTGCTCTTTACACATTTCTTAGGGTGCTAACAGGGAGAATTTAATTAGCAATTAGAGCTTCATTAGTCAGTGATCTTTCAAATATTCTCATGCCTTTTATTTCTGATTCAGGGGTGAAATTATGAGGAGAAAGAGGATGCTAGTAACTCTTTAGGGTC